GATAGCTGTATGTCATAGCTGCACATCCTTCTAGTTGGTGTATGTGGGACATGGCCTCAGCATGGCCGGAGAAGCGGTGCCTCGGTGCACGCCCGGGATACGAACCCGGGCTGCCAGCAGCGGAGCGCGCGCACTTAACTGCTAAGCCACGGGGCCGGCCCATGAGACATTTCACTTAATCCTTCTGCCTCACTGCTAGGCTGTCCACATCCCTTTCAGAAACCACAGCCCTTCCCAGGAGATTCCTAAGGATGTAGCTCCCCACCCCAGCCTTGGCTGTAAAGTTTCTGTACAGTTTCTGAGGCAGGAACAAGGAACAGGAAAGCAGGCATTTACAGGCGTATAGACATGCAGGATCAAAGTAGTCCAGAGGCTTAGCTGGAACCATATGGGCTATGTTCTGAGGTGGCAGCTTCCAGGAAGGAAGTTAATCCTTCTGACATCTTGAGACATTGGTTACTTAGACCCTCTCCTTGGGAACCAGCTATTCCATGGCTCTAGGAAAAGACCCACAGGAACTTGGTCTTTCTAACAGTCACTGTTGTGAGCCAAGTTACCTGTAGCTGTCCTCCTTCTATTGCTCCCAGGAATAGCAAACTCAGAGAAAATGTACGCTGAGGAGGGCAGCACCAAGCAGGTCAGATCATACTTGCCTTACGCCTACCTGTGCCCATGGCAAAAGCTCATTCCTACAGCTCTCTACGTGACAAACAATAATTCTGGCAAGCTCAGTCTAATGATCATTCATCATGCATTTCTTGAGCATCTACATGTGAACAGTTTTGCCCTGGGTCTTCTATTAAAAACACTTCTAAGGTAGGTAGCCATTAGAGGACTAAAATGGCAAGCTACAGGTTAGGCTAAGAATCGTAGAAGTAGCAGAGAGCTTAGGCTTCTCTATGCCTGTGGTTTTTTTTTCAGTTTAGATTTTAGAGTCCTATGGTGGCTCCATGGAAGTGCCTCCAGGCGTAGAAGCATGGCCTGACTCAGTTTGACCCCATGTCAACCAAAGCAACTTGCTCTTTATGTGTTTATATAATGGGCTTCCTTTTAGGATTTAAGTTGTAAAAACCACTGATCTAGTCCATTGCTTCCATTTTACAGAGAAGGAAACTAAGGCCCAGAGATAAGCTTAAGTGATTCACATTATATTACACAGCTGGTTATGACAGCTAAGATTAGCCCTCAGGCTTCCTGACTCTTAATCCAGTTCTCTTTCCATGACAACAGGCTATAATTTTAATCCAAGCTCTACCATAGAGTCTCGTTACCTAAATAACTTCTTCTCTTGGCCTCAGTTTCCTTCTTTGAAAGGAAAACTAATACAGACAACACCCTGTAGAGGTGCTAACAAGGATATTGCAGATGGTAAAGGGGGGAAGATTAATCAAAGAAATGACCAGGGCTTGGCCTTGTTTTAAGCCTTGCCTTATGATGTCTCCTGTGCCACTATCCTACGTATCCCTCTGCCTTCAGAAGCTGCCATGAAGCACTGCGACCTCCCCAAGCAGAGTCTCCCTAAGACTTGCTTAGACTGATTGATGAGGCCCTCGGAGCTGGTACTTCACTGGTTGAAGGGGAGCAGACTGATTTTGTAACCCTGGTAGCTGAATTTCTAATAGCCTGTCTGCTTGATTCTCAGGATAGCTTGGGCACTGTTGAGCGGACCCAGGATTCCGAAGGCTCCTTCAAACTGGAGGATCCCACAGAGGTGACCCCGGGATTGAGCTTCTTCAACCCCGTCTGTGCTACTCCCAACAGCAAGGTAGGTGGGCTAAAAAGCAGGCATTTCCTACTATATTAGCGTCCATCTCTGCATTAGCTATGACAGAGAGTGGTGGGAGAAAAGGGGTAAAGGTACAATCCACTTGCTGGGGACTGGGAATCGGGCATAGGCTGGAGTCTGTTTTCTTCCACAGAGCAATCTTAGGGGACACCTCGTTCTACTGGGAGTGTGCTGAGCATCTGTAATGACTAGGTTGGGTTAAACTTCTGCCCCTACCTGAGATCTAGTCATAGCTGTCTCTGTCCTTCCTAGATCCTGAAAGAGATGTGTGATGTGGAGCAGGTGCTGTTAAAGAAGACAGCTCCAGCTGCCTCCTCCCGTGGCCTCCCAGAGTTGATACACGTGGCAACAGAATCCCAAGAAAACAAAGCTCCAGGGAAGAAAAAGAAACGAGCTCTGGCCAGCAACATCAGCTTCTTTTCTGGCTGCTCCCCTATTGAAGAAGAGGCCCACTGAAGTTGGACTCGTCATTTCTGCCCCACTTTGGCTTGGGAGATGCTCACAGCCAGAAGGGGTTTTTTAACGACTCCTCTGGATTTCAGGTTTCCTGCTGTTAAAAAAAAAAAGGGACAGCATGTTACTGAAAGGGAGGGAAAATTTTTGGATGTTGGCCCTCAGTCTCCAGTCCCCCAGCCCCAGACTACTACTCTCTTTTCTCCAGGAAGGTGCTAAGCCACCTGCTGAAGCGAGAAGCAACTGACCTTCCTGACAACTCATCAGAACCAGTCCCCATTACAATCTAGCTCTTTCTTATTTGTAAGCAGCTAAGGCTATCTCCCGACGAGGATGAGGATGAGTCTTATCTCTAGGTTATGTCAGCTTAACAGCGGAGCAAATGGCAGAGCCTGGCCTGGGTTGGGGGCCTGGCACCTATCCTTCACCCCACCTCAGGAATGGGGTTGGGATCTTTCCTGCCCTGAGCATCTCTGGATTTTAAGTGTTTTAACAGTACCCTCAATTGTCTTCCATGTTGCTGAGATAAATGAAATATTTTTAAATGTTCAAGTTAAGTAAATAAATAAATAAATCTTAGCACATCTACTGTTTGGAAAGATCCTTCTGTGCTAGAGGGAAAAATACAATTTCAACCTATGTTCCTCAGCCCCTGGGAATGCTATTAAGGAGAGTCAGTGCAAGTACCTGAGCCTCGCTGCCTTGTAGCGGCCCTCTTCCCCCAGGGGAGTATGGAGCACCATGTCATGTCTTCGTGTTGCTCTGCTACCTTAGGAAATTGCAGTAACACTAGCAAAGTCAGTGGCCTGGCCTCCACGGTACAGCCTGCCTGGCCTCCACGGTACAGCCTGCCTAGCCTCCAGATTTGGGAGGAAGGAACCATGTTTACTAAGTATCTCCATGCGCCTGCCACAATTTTATTTGCTTCTCACAAAAAAGTTCAAGGTGGGTAGATGGCCTTATTTTGCAGATGAGGAAACTGAGATACAGAGAAGTTAAGCAGCTTATCTAAAGTCACAAAGTTAGTGATTAATAGAGCTAGTACTTGAACCCAGGTCTAACACCAAAGCTCCTTGTGTGAGTACAGAGTGGCAGCGGCAGCCATTCCTAATGCCCTGCAGCCTGATTTCTTGGCGTAGCGTGGGTGTGGGACCACACTGCTGCCCACTGCCAGGACAGCACAGCACTGGCTGCCTGCTTTCTCCTTTGAAAGGGGAGAGGAGGGGCGTGGCTTACTCCTTACTATGCATCAGGGTTCTCCATCTCTGCTTAAAGCTAAATGGGGGCCAGCCCTGGAATGCCAAACACAGGCTGCTGACTGGCCTTGCTGCCTTCTGAGGAGTTTGCAAGCCCTGGGCTTCATATCCATGCATTCTGAATCCCAGCTCCCCCCACACACACACACACAAAAGCCCCCAAAGCACCCCCCAGAACTCAGCACATTGAAAACCAAGACTCCTCTAGAATCTACCAAAGCCCATGCAAAGGGAACTGAAGGACAGCCTGCCTAGAAGGAAGCCTGCAGGAGGACTAGGTGACTTGGCTGCCCTCTCTGGCCTCCTGCCAGCAAGCAGCCTTGCTTCTCTTTGCATATTAATGCTGAGGGAGCAAGGGAGCCTCTGCCATTGCCAACTAGAGCCCCTAGATACAATGGGAAGGCAGAGAGGGAGGGGGCGGCAGCTCTTGGCATAAGAGAGCCAGTCTTCCTTCTCACTGTTCCAAATCCAGTACATGTAGGGGGAGGGGTAAATGCGCTTTTCCCCAGAGAAGACATCCTTTCCCACCAACACTGCGCTAGCCCCCAGGCTTCAAGCCACTCCATCAGCCAAAGGTAGAGAGGGAAGGTCAGTCCAGCCAGCCCCCAGCCCACCGAGAACCCTGTGCTTTAGCACTAAGCTGACTCTACAATGTGCTAGCCAGCCCTCTCCTGCCGATGGTGTAGTAACACCATCTTTTGTATGTGTTCATATTCCAAAAGCCTGTGACCCTAACATACACTCCTCAAATGATTCTTGGAAAGAGACTTTAGATGCCTTGGGGACAAGGCAGCAGGAATGACTCAAGTCTCAGCATGCCCTGAATGAGCATCTCCTGCCTGGGGTGATGAAGGGAAGGAGAGGGCTGCTAGTGTCACCCAGAATCCAAAAGGCCCATGGGGACCCCTGGTCCAGAAACAGGGCGACCTGCTGCCCAGAGTTCAGGAAGTAGCTTACACCTCTCTCCTAGATGCACCTTGCAGAAGTGGAAGCAGGATCCCAAGAGGGAGGGGAGGCTCATGAATCAAGGCTGTCCTCCGAGGGAGGTTGAGACTAGATGCTAGACTTCCTCACACACACACACACACACCCCTTCCCAGAGGACTGGCTGGGCCCCTTCTCCTCACTGCCAAGTTGCAAAGTTGTATGGTCACCTCCCCCCAGCTTCCCGCCCGCCCATGCCCTCAGCCCTCTCCTCCCTGAGCCAGGACAAAGGCCCAGCAGTGACTGAGAAGGGAATAGGAGGAGGGACAGAGGGATGGGGAAGGCTACACAAAGGAATTCCTCACCCCAAGCCCCCTGACCGGCAGCGAGTAAAAAAACAGATCTGCTCTCTCTCCCCCTTCCTCCCTCCCATCTTCCCACCGGGCTGGCACTGGCCATATAGCCGCTGCAGGCCTTCCGAGAGGACCCGCATAGCCTCCACTAGGTGGCGACAGTGCCACCTGTTTGACCGGTGGGGCTGAGCCAAGGACTGGAAGAGGGAGGAGGCAGACAACTAAGAGAGGAGCTGGGAAGCAGTGCAGAGCAGAGAGCAGAGCAGAGCTGCCGTTGAGAAAAGGTGTGAGGGCTCAGGGAGGCTGGGGGGGCTACAGGCAGGAGCGGCAGGGATTGGGCCCAGGGATTGAGCAGCACCCTTGCTCAGCCCCCCTGACTGGGGTTTTTAGGCTGCTCAGATCCTGACCCCATCCTGCAGACAGCTCCTAGAGGGAGGTGGGACTCGGGAAGGCAGTGTCTGGGGTGCAGGGCCAGGACCCGAGGGGTGGCAAGAGGGGCGGATGGAGCCCCGGGCAGGCTACTACAACCCAGTCCCAGGATGATAAGAGACAGGGGCCTCCCTTTGGGATGGCTTTTTCCTGGGAGGGGAGAGGTTTCCTTCCCCCAGCCCTTCCCCCAGCTCCAGCCCTCCACCCCTCCATGCCCTCCCCTACCCCTCCTTTCCCAAGGAAAGCATAGGGTAAGAAGGGCAGTTTTAGGAGCAGCTACACCCTCCCTCCTTTTCAGGGGCCCAGCCACTGTGAACCTCTCTAAAACTCCACAGCCTCAGGGGATCCCAGATGACAAGGGGTATGTCCCTTAGACCACACACACTTTGGGTGTATCCAGGGGCTCCTTTACATACTCAAAGTCATCTAGACACCCATTTGTATTGACAGCCAGCCACTACTGCACACGCATGTACAAATGCTGACACAAACTGCACACCCTCTCAGGTAGAATCACACACACCCAGCCTAATTTGGGGATCAGTAAGCCAACTCAGTCTTAGCCTGACTCAAAAGTGCAAGGTACAGGGATCCCCTGCCCCAAGAAAACCACACCCCCACACACTCACCTTTGCCCTGTATTTGTTGCACTTTCACCAAAGTGACCTCAGAGGGTGGGGCCCCTGAAAGGGGGAAGGTGGAGGCTGGGTTCCTGGCTGGGGGGGTGGGGGGATGACTGGGCAGGAAAGGACAGGACTGGGGCGAGGGGGTGGCTGTGGGGGGTAGGGGGGATGACTGGGCAGGGAGGGACAGGACTGGGGCGAGAGGGCTTGGGTTTTACAGGTGTGTGCGGGCAGGAAAAGGGTTCCTTCAGAAGGCTGGGAGTGACCCGGGCAGCCTGTTCCCCTCAAGTCTTCCTCTTATCGGCAGTGCCTCCAGCCCCCTGCCCCCTGCCCCCTGGGAGGTGGAAACAGAGATCTTTCAGTGAGGGCTTTGTGATGTGTGCAATCTCTGTATCCATAGCAACTGGCCAATTAGCTGGGCCTCCCTTAGTGCCAGGTCAGAACTGGAACCTCTGCTTCAGGTTACTCCTGGTTCCTGGGGTGGAAGCTTCCCAACATAGGGCTGCCTGAAGCTTGGCCAGATCTGCCTCAACTTGCTGAACTGAGTTTGCCCCACCCGGGGCAGTTTCTCCTAAGTCCCTACCCTGGGTAAGCACTCAATCCCCAGAGCTGGATGCTGTTAAATGGGGAGGAGTTGGAGAGAGTGGGTGTGCATCCTGTCTGCAAAGAGGCTGGACCTCCTGGGTGTCCCACTGACTTTCCAGGTATCCAGATTACGGGGAAACCAACCCCAGAAATGTCCGCCTTTGCTCACCTCCTCATCCAATCTGGCACCCTGGGCGTGCCCTGTGACCTCCGTTGCTGAGCAGCGGCCCAGGCCTCTGCTCCTCCTCCCGGGCTCCTTAGATACACTGGGACGGAGGCTGGGATCTGCCTTCTGCCAGGGCCCCTGATGGTCGAGTGTCCCTTCCCCCAGGCCCTCACCATGGCCAAGTCCCCCGGCTGCTGCTCCGTCTGGGCCCGCTGCCTCCACTGCCTGTATAGCTGCCACTGGAGGAAATGCCCCAAAGAGAGGATGCGAACCAGCAAGGTGGGGTAGGAATGGGGGGCCAGAAGTCCGAGGCAGAGGCCTCTTGGAAGGGATAAGGAGGCCAAGTGTGCTCAGAGGCAGCTGGAGGGAAGGGGCTTTCTCTCCCCAGGAAGAAAATCTTCCTCCAATATGAAAAGAGCAGCCTGCAGAGCAGAGCAGCCCAACGCCTGGCAGGAAGCCCCCTTGAGCTGCCATTCGTTGGGGACTCTGAGCTGGAAGCGGGGATCAGCTGTGAGCTTCTCTCCTGTCCCTGTTGCAGTGCGACGGTATCTGGTTTGGCCTGCTCTTCCTCACCTTCCTCCTCTCCCTGGGCTGGCTGTACATCGGGCTCATCCTTCTCAATGATCTGCACAACTTCAATGAGTGTGTCATGGACCCCACCCCCTCCTCAGCATACTTGTCAACCTACTCCCCACCCTGGGATCCTTGGGTGCTCAGTCATCCCCAGCCCTGCCCAGCTCTCCTGCTACCCAACCTCCTTAGAAAATCCCTCCATGAAGTCTCCCCAACCCTTGGAGCCCCAGGCCCCATGAAGGGCTTCCCCTCACTCCCTTCTAGTCCTCTTTCTGGAATGCACCCACCCCAACCCCCTTAGACCACTATTAACACCCCTTCTCCCACTCGGACACCCCCCTCTCCCCTCCCACAGATTCCTGTTCAACCACTGGGGACACTGGATGGACTGGTCCCTGGCATTCCTGCTGGTCATCTCTCTACTGGTCACATATGCATCCCTGCTATTGGTGGGCCTAACCCCCACCTCAGCCCTTCCTTCCTGCTCAGCTCTACCCAGTCATTCTAACCCTGGCCACTGAAGGGAGGGTAGGATGGAGGTGTCAGACTGGGAAGCCCACCTCAGTAATCCCTCTTGGCACCTCATTGCTCCCACCACCCTCTGCCCCCAGCTCCTGGCCCTGCTCCTGCGGCTCTCTGGCCAGCCTCTGCGTCTGCACAGTGTCCACAAGGTAGAGTGGGGATGGGAGTGAGCGAGAGATGGGGCCACTAGGCCCAGCGCTTGGCCAGCTATTTGCCAAGGACTTCATTATTCTATCCTGGGGCTTGAGCTCAGGGCCTGAAGCCCAGCAACTATTTATTGAGTGAAAAAAGAAAAGTGGATGAGTCAGGGAAAGGGAATGGTCCTGTTTTTATAGTGAGGGGGCAGCCCAGGTAGTCATGAGCCCAGGTTGACACAGAAGGCCCCATTCATCCCTGGTCCCCCAGGTGCTGCTGCTCCTCATTATGCTTCTTGTGGCCGCTGGCCTTGTGGGACTGGACGTCCAATGGCGGCAGGAGTGGCGTAGCTTACGTCTGTCATTGCAGGTGAGTGGCTGGTCTCCAGTGCCTAGGTGGGAGCCTCGGCCTGTGGCCAACCCCAGGACACGTCTTGCTCTCTGGTCCCCCACGACTGCAAATAGCTCTGAACTCCAAAGTCAGGTCCTAGGAGGAGAAGGGGAGGGGCACTAGGGAGAAGAGCCCCCCTCACCAGCTCTTGTCCACAGGCCACAGCCCCATTCCTTCATGTTGGAGCAGTTGCTGGCATCACCCTCCTGGCCTGGCCTGTGGCTGATACCTTCTACCGTATCCACCGAAGAGGTGCCAACTCCACTCCCCCACACACCCTCCCTGGCCATCGATGCTGCTGCCTGCTGCTGCCTAGTTTCCCTCACCTGCACTCTGTTTTCTGCCCCCAGAGCTCAGCTGTTGCCCTTTCTCCATAGCCTGTCCCCTACTCCCCACAGGTCCCAAGATTCTGCTACTGCTCTTATTTTTTGGAGTTGCCTTGGCCATCTACTTGGCCCCCCTGTGCATCTCCTCACCCTGTATCATGGAACCTAGAGACTTACCTCCCAAGCCTGGGCTGGTGGGACACCGAGGGGCCCCCATGGTGAGTGTTGGGCAGAATGCTGGCAGGGCGGGGAGGGTCTGCTCCTCTGGGCTGTAGCGGCCAAACCTGTGGGTTCCCAGGCTCCCATCCTTCCCTGCTACCTCCTCACCAATTCCCTTTCCCAGCTGGCCCCCGAGAACACCCTGATGTCTCTGCGGAAGACAGCCGAATGTGGAGCTGCTGTGTTCGAGACCGACGTGATGGTCAGGTGAGGGAAGCCGGGGGGCTGAGGGACAAGCAGAGGAGCTCTGGAAATGATGACCAGCCCCAGAGCTTGGCCCTCTGACACCCCTTGTACCCTCAGCTCCGACGGGATCCCCTTCCTCATGCATGATGAGCACCTGAGCAGGACCACAGATGTGGCCTCTGTGTTCCCAACCCGAATCACCACCCACAGCAGCGACTTCTCCTGGGCTGAACTGAAGAGACTCAATGCTGGGGCCTGGTTCCTAGAGGTGAGGACAGCCTCCGGGAACAGGCAGCCACCTGCAGGGGCACTCAGGACAGAGTTCCTTCATTGATAGGCATTTGCTGAGCCCTGTGCTGCGCAATAGGTATACAGTCTCTGCCCTCAAGTCACTCCCTCCTTGTAAAGAAGAGAGTCTAGGCAACAGGCTCTCAGAATATGAAACCTAGAGCATAACGATATCTTTACTGGGTAGAGAGGAGAAAGAGAGAAGTCACTGTTTGGCAGGGTGGGTGTGGGAGAGGATCAAGAGTGGTTTCACAGGAGAAGATGCCTGAGCAGCGTATGAAATGAGAGTGGTTTTTAAGATGGGCAAGACAGGGAATGGGAATTCTAGTCAGAGGGAGGAGCATGTGTAAAGCCCAGAAGGATGATGAAGTGTTTCCAGGGAACAAAAAGTGGCTCAGTGCAAGTGGGAGATAAAATTCATGGGAGTAGTGGGAGGTGAGACTGGCAGGGGGAGCAGAGGCTTGGAGGGCTTTGAATGCCAGGCCAAAAAGTGTGGACCTCAATCTTGCAGGTGATGGGAAATATTTAAAGGGATACTTTACGTTTTCAGTTCCTCTTCTTCTGATTACAACAGTAATACATGTTCCTTGTAAAAAAAAGTAAAACATCAGAGAAATAACCTAAAAATTGAAAAGTCTCCCATAATCCAACTGCTTTGAGATATTTACTGTTAACAGTGGGTACATATTCCATATATACATATACATACATATGTACATATATATGTATACACACATACATATATATGTATACAGACACATAGATATATACATATACTTTTCATTTTGCACAAATAGGATCACTCCATTTATTCTTTTGCAACTTGCTTGCTTTTTTTTTTCCATTTAACTCTATACATGATGGTATATCAGAGTGATTAAGAGCAAGGGATGTCTGGGTTTGAATCCTGCCTTCACCACTTACTAGCTGTGTGAGCCTGGGCAACATTCCTTAGTCTCTCTATGCTTCATTTTGCTCATCTGTAAAATGGGAATAATAACAGTACCTACCTTGTAGGATTATGGGGAGGATTAAATAAATTAATACTCATAAAGTACTTCTAACACTGCCTGGCACATAGTAAATTCTTAATAAGTGTTAGATTGCTCGCTTTTTCCATGTCAGTGATTAGGAGGTAAGGTCATTTGTTGATTACAAGGGGAGAAGAAGAGAGTGGCAGAGGTTCAGAATAGCCCCTGGGAGGAATGGGGAGGGAGCAAATCAAGAACAAGTAAAAGGATGGCTAAGTGACACTGAGAGCAAAAAAATAGGACTACAGTGCCAACAGTCCACATGGTGTGCTCTGGCCCCCAATTCGAGGGGTGGAGAAGGCAGACAATTGTAGAATTGAATCAGAGTTTGGAATTTGTAGGGCAGGTGGTGCAGGAAAGGAGTTGAGGGTGCTGTGGAAAAGTAGTTCAAGCTGTGGATGGACCATGGGTAGGGGATGTAGGTACGGCCAGAAAGGGGCTGATGGATTGGGAGGAAACCAAGGGGTCAAGATCGCAGAGGTCTCCATTAAGACCAAAGAGAAAGTGTAGTGGGAGAGAGGAAGTTAGGAAACTGGGAGGGTAGGATGTTGGCGTCACAGAGTGAGGTGTTAGAGAGTCTGGAAAAGACCACAGTTTGGGTAAAGACAGACCCTGACTCAGAGGGGGTCAGAAGCTGGACACCAAGTAGGGGAAATGAGTGAAGATGGTGAGGATGGGGGATGGCCTGGAGGCTTCTTCTGGTCTTGAAATAAATTTCTTATTCTTATAGAGGCGACCCTTCTGGGGGGCCAAGCGGCTGTCAGGCCCTGATCGGAAAGAGGCTGAGAATCAGAGAGTACCAACATTGGAAGAGCTATTGAAGGAAGCTGCAGGCCTCAACCTTTCCATCATGTTTGACTTGCGCCGCCCCCCACCAAACCACACATACCATGACACCTTTGTGAATCAGACATTGGAGACTGTGCTGAGCGCAAGGGTGCCCCAAGCCATGGTGATGTTGCCAGGACCCCAAGTGCCTGCTCTTGCCCCTCCCCACCACCTTCCTTAGGCCATGATGATAATTTTGAGGATGCCCCTTGACCCAGGGCCCCACCTCAGTTCGTATACCCCATTCTGTGGTCAAACCTCTCTGCCCCTGCCCCCGCCCTTGGAATCCTCAGGCCTTCCCCAGCTTCATGCCCATCCTCCCTTAACCACAGGTCCTTTGGCTACCAGATGAAGATCGGGCTAATGTCCAACAACGAGCACCCAGAATGCGCCAGATATATGGACAGCAGGGAGGCAACATAACTGAGAGGCCCCAGTATTTCAACCTCCGCTATCAAGACCTGCCACTGTTGGATATCAAGTGAGTACCAGAGGAAAGGAGCCAAGGGTATCACATGAGGCTTAATGGCGGGGAAGAGCCAACGCAGAGAGGGCAAAGGCCTTTCATTCATTCACTCATACAACAAATATTTATCAAACACTTGTTATGTGTCAGTCACTATTTATTGCAGGCTTCGGGTGTACTAGTGAGAAAGACACAATAAACCACTGAACAAAATATATGCATATTGGATAGTGATAAGTGATATGAAGACAATAAAATGGGGAGATGTAGTAGAGCGATTGGAGTTGGGAGTGAGGGGCTAGGGAGGGGCCACATTAGGAAGAGTGGTTAAAGAAGTGGTGTCTGGGCTGAGACCGGACAGGTCACAAGGAGCTAACAACGAGAAGAGCTGCAGAAGAGGGGGAACAGCAACCTAATGAGCAAAGGGAAGGTGAGGCTAGAGAGGGAGGCAGGGGCCAAATTGGGTAGGACCTCATAGGCCTTAAGAAGGATTTTAGCTTTCATTCTACACCAAAGAGATAAATGCAAGAGAGGATGAATCCAGGAGACAGAGGCTAGAGAGTACCAGATGTGAGCTGGGCCCCAGAAGCTGACCCAGCCAGTAAACATGATGGACTTCAAAACCTGTGGTTGCCAAGGTCTCTTGTAAAGTCCTTGTGGTCAAATAGAAAAAATGTGGACTGAATGATAGCTCAGTTATCATGAGTATTTCAAGGACCTTTCCCTAAGTTGTCACCATGGAGGAAGACATGACATCAGGTTTGGCCGTTACCTTAGTCTTTTCCTGGTCAACATTGACTGCTGATCATGTTTCCAAAAGACATGAATTGGTCATGAATATACTGATGATGAAATTGAGGCCCTGAAAGATCTAAGCACTCTAAGATGATGGGCCAAATGTACCAAGATGAAATGCAACAGGGATAGATGTAAAGACCTATATTTGGGGCCCAAAAGAAGCTCAATTGCACAAAGACAAGAGAGGAGACATTGGCATCAGCAGGAACATGTGTGAAAGAGACCAGGGCTTTGATTGAATAGTGTGCATAATGAGCCATCAGTAGCACGAGACATTGCCAAAAACTAACCTGACCCTGGGCTGCCTTCATACAGGCACGGTATCCAGAAGGCAGGAGGAGTTTTACTCTATTCAAAGCTGGTCCAAGCCCACCTGGGATATATATGTTCAGATGCAGGCCCCATACTTCAAAAGGAACATTGATAAATTGGAGTCAGATTAGATTAGAGAGGTTTGTACAGTGAAAGGAATGATAAGCCAGGTCCCAAGAGTAATGGTTAAAGGAACTGGGGCTGTTGGGCCTGGAGAAGAGAAGACTCAGGGGGATGTGGTCACTGTTCCTCAGACCTTTGAAGGGCTGTCATTGGACAAAGAGAAGAGACACATTCATGTAGGCCCAGACAGCAAAGCTAGGACCCATAGTTGGAATCCACCGGGAGACAGAGTTTAGCTCTGCAAAGAATATCACTTTTGGTCAGAGGCTGCTATGCAAAGGTAGAACTGATAACTCCTTGGCAATGACACTGTAGATTCAAGCACAGACAGGGGCTTCCTCCTATGCCTCGTGCCCCATGATGCTGTTTCTTTCCCACCTTCACAGGTCACTACACAAGGACAATGTCTCGGTGAACCTATTTGTAGTGAACAAGCCCTGGCTCTTCTCCTTACTCTGGTGTGCAGGGGTGGATTCAGTCACCACCAACGACTGCCAGCTGCTGCAGCAGATGCGTTACCCTGTCTGGCTTATTGTAAGGGCTCTGGCACTGTCACCCCTCTTCCTCTTTTCCCATCCCTGCTTCTCCTTAACCCTGTCCCTCTCTTCCTTACTTATTTTCCCCCATATACCACCTTTGGCGCTCTGGCCACCGACAGGGACATTTTCCTATTCCCATAGCCCCCTCAAACATACCTAATGATGTGGATTGTTACTGATTGTGTCTCCACCCTGCTGCTTTTGTGGACCTTCCTGCTCCAAGGGTGAGTGCTTTGTGCCTTGGCTTTCTGGGTCTTTATTCTCCCCAGGGTCCTGGTGATGGGGCTGATTCAGACTCATATATGCTGCCTGGAGCTTGGGGTGTGGTCTGTTTGGTTCCTTTGAGATTCTTAGACCCTTCCTTATATAGTCATGTAACACATAACGACGTTTTGGTCAGTGATGGTGGTCCTATAAGATTAGTACCATATAGCTAGGTGTGTAGTAGGCCATACCATCTAGGCTTGTGTGAGTACACTCTATGATATTCGGACAACAACGAAATTGCCTAACGACGCATTTCTCAGAACGTATTCCCGTCGTTAAGTGATGTATGACTGTACACCAAGTTGGCTTGAACCTGGGAAAGGCAGTTTGAGGGAACCTGGGGTTAAAAGGTCATGCTTGATGCTGGCTGAACTCACAATGGGAAGCCTTTCTCCCTACAGGAGATGTGCTAAGGAGAGAGAGAGAACTGGTAAGAACTTTCTCCCCTCACCTCATTTTTCTCCTCCTCTAGCCTTCCCCTTGCTCACTCCCTATATGCCCTCCCCACCCCCAGGCTTAGAAACAGCAGTGCTGCTGACCAGGATCAACAATCTCATAATGGAGTGAATGCCCTGCCCTGGGCCCCCGCCAGCCAGAATCTGAGGCCCGTCTGCACTAGCCAACAGCAAGGAAAGCAGAATGGCTGAAGTGGAACGTTAGCCCGTTTGGGGTGGGGTGAACTTTGCCAACAGGAGGTTTTGAACTATGAGGGTGCTCTGCCCAGATGGTGGGCATGCCCCAAGTTTCCATGGAATCTGCTCCCCTTGGGGTTTTGACCTGAGGTGGTTGGGAAGACAATGAGTCATGAGAAGTTTCTCCCAAAACAAAACTAGAACAGAGGAAGTGAAAAGGAGATTGCTAAGATAATGTTTCAGACCTGTGTGCACGTGTCCTTGTGTAGAAGGCACAGGGTGTGTCAGGGATGTGAGAGCTTGGAACAGCGACTGAAGGAGATGACAAAACGGCCTTTCCTGGAGAACTGTGAGATGATGGAGACGCCAACCCCCCTCCCCTCACTGTCTCCCCTGATCCCTGCAATTTAGCTGCTTTCCTGCCTAGAGGCTGGGGGCTAAAGAGCCCATCTAGCCATGTAATTTTGTGCTTTTTGCTGTGCACAGCCTTTTCTTCGAGACAGGTTGATTCCTGTATCTTGTCTGTTAATCTGTTAATCAATGAATTTAATTCCCATTTGGTCACAGTTTAATCTTTTCGGCGCTGGGGCTGGGCGGAGGACGCACCTTCCATCTAGGGTCGTATGTGACAGGACATTGAGGGGTCCTCACGGGGAGATTCGTGGGTTGGAAGTGAGAGGAGGACCACCTGAGGCTAGGACGGGCTGCAAAAGAGAAGCAGGAGAGCAGCCGCCACGGGGGTCGTTCTGGATGCCTGAGGCCGCCGTGCAGAGTTGCGTTGTAGCGCCACCTTGTGGTCACCTGCCCCAAGAGGAGGGCGGTGTCGGTCGTCACCGTGACGTATTTGCTGAATACCACCTGTTTCCTGTGACGTTCGGGGACCTGTGTCCTTGACTCCGGACCCTGAGGGCATGGTCCGATTTCCACAAGTTTTCGCTTCTCTGGGCTGCGCGCAGGGTCTGGTTCCCGGGCCCGCCTTCGCCTCGAGAAGCAGGTTCCCCAGTGTATTTGCTGCTCGTGAGTCCCTGAGCTAAACAGTTAAGGTGAACAATGTGGAGCTGGCCTAGGATGGGGAGTCTGGTAGAAGGGGCGGAGGGGCTAAGGCCAAAGCGGGGATTGGAGGGGGCTCTGTGGCTGACTCTTCAGTTCCCTACCACGCCAATATTCGCCCCGGTTCGTGTCTCCACACCAAGGGAAATCGAATTAAGGCGCTGGCGAGGTCAGGACGTTCGGTTCTCAATTCCTCCTCTCTCGCCAGACTGGCACCTGGGGCCGCACTAGCACCTCGGGACAATACCCAACTAGGTTGCAGGGCAGCTCTGGGAACTACAATTCCCAGGATGTCCCCGGCCACTTCCGGTCTCGGGATCGACGGAGGCGGTTTGAATTTGTGTTCCCGCCCCCTCCTCCTTCCGGACCCCGCCCCTTCCCTTCTCTCGCCGCCCTGCCCCCGCCATGCGCACGCATGCACAGACACACAGGCAGCCGTCCACGCTAACATACCTGGCCTGCAGCTGGCGCGGTGGGCGGGGACACTGGCGTGCGGCTGGCCAGGAGGCAGGAGGCGCGCCAGGAGCGAATGCCGCGGCCGCTGCCTGGTCCCGGTCTTCTCGGGGGTCTACGCAGCCTTGTGCCGGGCAGCTCTCCACAACACTACCTTTTCAAGCTGCATTTCTTTAGTTTTCGCCGTTCTCGATCCCGCCCCTCAGTCAGACCGACTGCCAGCGTCAGCTCTGGGGCGCCCAGCCTGTCAGGTACTGCCGGGCTCTCACCTCTCAGCATGTACCTCTTCCTCTCATCCCTACTCTTCTGTCCCCTGCCGGTCGTCCAGCCTCGCAGGCCTGCAGCCTCTTCCTCCCCTCCCCCTTCCGACCTAACCCTGACAGCCTCCAGGGTCTCCAAGCCCCGCAGCCTCAGCCTCGCAGCTCCCAGGCTCTCAGCTGCAGTGCTCTAACCTCAGCGTCCAGACTCCCGGCCAGAATGCCAGGACTCAGCCCTACCCCATAACCCCTTGCCCCCACCCCTAGCCTTGGCTACTCGGCCCTGAGCCTGCCACCGCATATCCTTACTCTCTTCCCAGGAGGACTGGACAGCTATGGCGCCCTTAACTTCTGTGAGGCCCTGGACTGGAGACTGAGACTGACAAAAAACTTGAGCACAGAGGGCCAGGGGGAGCTGTTCATTGGGGTTCGGGTGCAGTTGCTCTCCGTTATTTTTAGCTGCTGACTCACAGCTCCTGGATCCGGTTTTGGGGCTAGCAGGCTGGGCTAGGGGGCTATTAATAGAGTCAAAACACAGTCCCGACCCAGTTCAGTTTGGCACACGGAGCAAAGAACCTCCCCCTGCCATGATGCCTTGTGGAGATTTTGTGGACTGGGGCAGTGGCTGGACCAGTACCTCTCTGGCTGCCAGTACCTCAGCCTGGTATCTCTACCTTGGAACTCTTGAGGGAAAACCCAGGACGAGACTCCTGGGCACGACTCTCCCCTAAGCTTGCCATGGCTTGGGGCTCTGCCATAATGAAGCTCCTGTTGTACTAGCTGAGAGTGAAGAAACGAGTCCCAAGTGGAGGGGTTATTGTAGCCACGACCTTGGCCTGCCTGGACCTACTCCTGGGCCAGAATGCTAGGTTACCAGGAGGAAAAGCTGTGTATTTATGGTCCCCAAAGACCCTCATAAGGATGGGGTACTTCAGCATGGTCCTAACAGAGGGAGCACAGAGTGGGGAATTTGCTAGCCCCAAACCAGGCACAGCACTAGGAAGCTGCCAAATTCTGTGTTTACCACCCCTCCTTTCTTCTTTTTATTTCTTTCTCTCTTGTTGGGCTCTGTCTGTCCCTACTCATAGGGGTCAACAGACCTCAGGCTCTCTCCCTACTGCATAGAGAAACCGACTTCAGAAAAGCCACTGAGAAACTTGTCTCCACCAAAGTATGAATGATCTTTTACATATTGTCATTCTTATGGGGCTTTTTTATTTTAATGGTAGGAGACTCTTGATACTTTACTGGACTAATCACCAAAATTAGTCCCACCCATGTGCAATTTGCTAGAATTCCTATTGACCAAGGATGCACACCCACAGCAATACGCCCTATTTGCAGACCAGAAACTTCTGCCTTCAGCGACCCTGGTCTCCGGCTCCCTGGTCCCAGGTAAAACCAGACGGCTTTGGGGCAAGGGTGATTGTTTCTCTACACACAAAGTCTGGGGTCACCCAATGAAGCTCTACTTTCAAGAATGAGCCCAGATTATTAGACAGCAGCAGGCCACGCTGCCCTAACCCTGTCAATTTGCTGAGGGCGCCGGAGAGATGGGTGGATGGGATGAGAAATGTTCTCCGCCTCCCAAATCCCTTCGCGTACTCCTCGGTTGCTTCAGTCTCTGCATAGGCCGCCCCGTTGCCTAGCAACCGCAGCCGCCTGCTGGGGCGTGGGGCTGCTTTCGATCTGTAGGGGGCGCCTGTCTCCCTGGGGCCTCAGACTGGAACTCGAGCATTTGGGAGGGGGTTCCAAGTGTCAAAGCATCTCAGACTTCCTCCCAGGCATGCCAACCCAGTCCAGTCTGAGGCTGTGGAGTGGGGAGAAGCTCACTGTGAATCTAAGGGATTTTACTCATATTCATTAAAAACGAAAAGACCAGAGAGAGAGACAGAGACAGAGAGAAAGAGAGACAGGGAGAGAGATGAGAAAGAGAGAGGGAGGGGGGGAGAGGGAGAGAGAGAGAGAGAGAGGAAAGACCGGCCAATGGAGATGGGGCATGGGGAGGGCAGTTGGACCCTCTCCATTCATTTGAGGCTTAGCAATGATTATTCTTCAATCAGAGCAGTTCAGAGGGACTGGCTATAAGGGACTTTTTTCCTGAGCCACTTTTAGGGTGTAGGAAAACAGTCTAGCACTCTATATTGACAACTGCTGAGCGTGTAAAAGACTTTAAGCTCCTAAGTTACCGGCCTAGCCTAGATTTGGTCATGAAGGAAGATATGCATTCATTTATTCATTCAACAATAATTATTAACCATAACCCACTGTATACCAGGTAATGTGCTAAGGGTTTTACATTTAATCCCCACGAAAACCCTATGATTATTTCCATTTCACAGATAAAGAAACTGAAGCTCAGAGAAGTAAAGTAATGTCCAAGGTCACATAACTAGTGACTCGGTTGGATCTGACTGAGCAACCACTGTGTGCCAGGGTCTAAGAATATAGAAAACAAGACACTTCTCTCTTTTCTCTACCTAATAAACACCTAGTGACCCTTCAGGACCAAACTAAAAATGTCATCTCCTTTGTGAAACTTTTCTTAAGTCCCCCCCACCACAAGTAGAGTGGATAACTGCTTTTCTGTATACCTCTCTGAAATAGCACTTTTCATGGGTATTGTAATGATCTGTTTCCATATTTCCATTTCTCTAACTCTGAGCACCTCGGCGACAGGGCCTGTTTACTATTTATCTCCACTTGGACATCTGATAGACATCTCAAACACAACATGTCCAAATCTGGACACCTGATCTTTTCCCCCAAAATGACCCCTCCTAAAGCTGTCCTTATCTCAGTCGATGGCAATTTCACCTTTCCAGTTGCTCTGGCCAAAAACCCTTGGAACCACACCTCATATCCAATCTGTCAGCAAATCCTGTTGACTCTCCCTTCAAAATACATCCAGAATACAACCACTTCTTATCACCTCCAGTGCTACCACCCTGGTCCAAAGCACCATCACCTCTCACGTGGATCACTGCAGTCGCCTCCTGACTGGTCTCACTACTTCTACCCTTGTCTCCTGTGGCCTATTCTCCACACAGAAGCCAGAGTGATCCTGCTAAACCCAAGTCAGAGCATTGATCAGTTCTCTGCACAAAACCCTCCAGTGGCTCCCCATCTCTCTAAGAGTAAAACCAAAATCCTTACAATGGCCTAGAGGCCCTACACAATCTGGTCCCCTGCGAAATCTCTGATCTCATCTCCTAGTACTCTCCCCCTCCCTCACTTTGCCCCAGCCACTTGGTCCTTCTTGCTGTTCCTTGAACAAGCCAGGTGCACTCCTTACCCAGGACCTTTGCACTGGCTGTTCCCTTGCTAGGTATACTCTTCTGCATGGCTCACTTCCTCACTTCCCTCAAGTCTTTGCTCAGATGTCACCTTCTCAGTGAGACCTACCTTGACTAACCTATTTAAGGTTGCCTCTATTCTAATTTCTAGTATATGGTAAATAGAGTATAGAGGAATGAGATAAATGACATCATGAGAGAAAAAAAAAACCAGACAAATCTAGAATGTAGGAGATTCTACAAAACAACTGACTTGTACTCTTCGAAAAGCCAATGTCATTAATTTAAAAAAAAAAAAAAGATGGGTGACTTCTAGTTCTGGACCCAGTTGGAGTAGGTACACTTCTCCCTATTCCTCCCACTAAGTACAACTAAAACCCTGGACATTGTATATAAAACAAACATAAGAAGACTCTGAAAGAAGGAGAAAAGGGCAGACTGACTAGGAACCCCAGTGACCTGAACTCATGGTGATGAGTTCCCTGGGTTTTCTTGTTGCCTCA